ACATATACCCTTGGCATGTGTGAGCAATAAATCATTTAAGTGACAATTTTGTGTAAAAAAAAAAAATATTATTTTTTTGTCATTTTCCAAAAACTTGTGGTAAAAAAATAAATTCTTCTATTGACTCAGCATACCTCTCAGCAAATAGTTTGGGGTGTCTACTTTCCAAAAAGGGGTCGTTTTGGGGGGTGGGGGAATTTTTATGCTCAGCATTAGAAGTTTATGCCACACATCAGTGGGAAACTAAGTATGGCTTCATCATCTGGTCATTGAAGTCCACCCCTCCCATGTTAAAATTTTAGTAGTGCACACAGAGGGGCTTCTCAACAACACCAGCTGCCGTGGCAATATGGATGGTCGTGTCTGCATGAATGGAAGACAGAAGGAAAACATCCCGTTTGTCCTTCCACTTCACTGTGAACAATTCATCATTTCTCAAGCAGGCTTTTTTCCCCCTTTCTAAGACGGGTATTTACAAGGCGTTGGGGGAAGCCACGGCGATTATGTCGCAGGGTGCCACATGCGCCAACTCCAAGATTGTACAAATGTCTAAACAGTGGCAAGCTTGAATAAACATTTTCCAAGTATAAGTGGTACCCAGTATGGAAAAAGTTACATCAAGTCCCAAAACTATCTTGCCACTGCTCCCCATGTAGTCTGGGCAACCGGGGGGCTCCACGTGACTAGCTTTTCCCTCTTAAATCCAAAACTTATATGTATAGCGTGTTGCGCTCTCACAGATCTTATACATCTTGACCCCATATCTGGCACGCTTGCTGGGGAGAAATTGTTTGAATGCAAGGCTGCCAGAAAAATTGAGGGACTCTCAACACATGTTTTGCTAGGAAGCAGGTCTGCTGTTAGAAATCATGGGGCCCTGTACAGCCTACCTGACAGGGGCCCCCAAAACCCTGCCCCTGACCCCACCCCCCTGACCCTGCCTACCCACCTAAAAAAAAATGCAGCTTAGTCTTTATGGGATAGTTTTTTTCCCCCAGCCTGTTTTAGGCAGGCCATACATGATGTCATGTTCTTTCCTACAACCATGGGTTGCCGGAAAGAAAATCGCTCAATTCCCCCATCAACATCTGTGGCTGGCTTAGGGATGCATCTGACTGTCCTTCCTTCAGCCCTGGCTCACACCAATGCAGCTTTGAAACTGCGCTACCTCAGCGCAATTTCAAAGCAGCAGATCAGAGAGATTTGTAACTACGATTTTACTGCGGCTTGCGACTCCATTTAACAAAAGTCAATACAAGTTGCAATGAAACGGGAAAAAAATTATTGTAGGAACCTTTTTGAAAGTCGCTGTGACATGAGTCGCAGCAATTTGAACGGTTCCATTGCCAGCAATGTGGTGTCACTTGTCATGCGATTTGGAACTGTCAAGTCGCAAATCGTACTGGTGTGAACCAAGGCTCAATAATCATCATGATTATCATGATCATCACACAATGCAGGTGCTGCTCCTCAAAGCACCTGTACTGTGTGACTATCATCATAATGATAATAATTATCACATTTGGCTGCTCCCTGCTGTATAATTGCACGTAGCAACAGGCAGGGCATGGGGAAAGGTGTGTATGTGCTGTCATTTCATTACTGTACCTTTCCTGTGACTTCTGCTGCTGCTGGGATCCCTGTCTTTACAGTGCTGGGCTGGCTGCTGAGCTGAGTAGAGGGACATAACACATGGACTCTGCTGCCTGCACAGGTCCCTTCCAGTTGCAGCCAGCTGCCAGCTCTCTTTTTCTGCCTGATTTCCTCAGCACTTACTTGCTGAAGGAGGCAGGCAGTGTGCAGGGCAACTTAGGCAAGCTGAATTACTCCGCCAGCCAGCAGCAGGGACTGAGAGAGCCGGGACTTCATCTCCTCAAATGTGGACCAGCCCAGGATAGTGCAAGTCCGCAGGTGCCCACAATAGAAAAAAAAGTCCCCTTTGTCTCCTGGCCCTCTGGATGAACTGATGGGGCCCCCCACAGCCCGGGAATAATGTTACCACCACCCAGGAGCCATGTACACAGGGGAACTGTATGTATGCACTGACTGTAAACATGATCCTAATACATGATCCTACATGAAGACTGAAGCTGCTGTCCGGGCCCCCCTGTTCTGTGACGGTGGCCGGGCCCCCTACAAGAGGTCCGGTCGTACCCCCTTATCAATGGCCCTGCTGGGGAGTATAGACATCTACAAATTTTTGGTTAAGATGATTTAAGAGGAGCCAAATTTTGTGGAGCTGGTCAAATTCAGGGTCATCCCGAGGACAACACAGTGAATTGTCATTGAAATGCATACATCACATTATATTCTCCTATATATGCCTGGCCATGGCAGCAGAGGACACGGGCATCTGATGAATCGGGTCTGTGGACCAATACAACCGCAATTCATTTTTTTTTAGTAATGCCCATGTTGAGGGTTAGGCCCAAAAAAACTTTCAATTCGGAAACCGTAATAGGTTTCCATGCATATGGCCTGACAAAGTTTGAATTTGGGTTGGCGGCGATAAACTGTTGTGCATATAAATTGCTTTGATCCACAATCAATGCATACAGATCTTCCGTGAAAAACAGCTCCAAAAAATTAAGGGGAGTAGTTAAATTTGCTATTTCCATCTGAATCCCGAGTTGGGCAGTGAATGGGGGAAGTACGGGTGCTGCAGAATTTGTGGGCTGTTAATCAGGATTTGCAAGCACACCCAGAACGACACTAGGGGCTCTACAAGCCTTTGTGCAAATTCTTGGTGACTGCGGGACACTACTTGTGCTCGCCACTGCACCAGCTTGTACTGCACTTATGGGACTCACCACGTCACCAAGTGATACTGCAGTGCTGGTATGTATAAGACCAGGATGTACTAGGCCACTGGTGCTCGCCAGTTCACCGATGGGCGTATCTCACTCAGCTTCGTCTGGTCCTGACGAAGCTGAGTGAGAGATACGTCCATCGGCAAAACGCGTTGACGTCATATGTCAGATACGTCACTTCCGGTCATGTGCACTGGTGATACGCACGCCGACCTATAAGGAGGTAGCCATTTTCACATGCCATGAGTCATGCAAAGGCTGTACAGGCGCCATAGAGAGGTCGGAACCCGCGAAATGTCGGCTGACGTAAGCGGTGGTCCCCTGGATCAACACGGCAGTACCTATGAAGGATTTCTCTTCTTTTTTCTACTATCCATTGTACAGGTGGTGAGTGGACTGTTACAGGACATTTGAAAAAGGCTCCTTGCGATCTATATGATAATATATATCTACTATAGAGTGAAAGCTCTTACAGTGACTATCCTTATATCGTTTGTCTTATTACAGGATGGGGACATTATGGTGCTTTACATAGAAACAAGGCATACTACATATATTGCAACAGGCGGAAGATCTACTGGGCCTTATCTTGTTTCTAACACTAAAGTGGTTTGCAGTCCACATGCTGTGGTGAAGAAACCATTTAAAGCAGACTTCTGCTATTTGCATCCATTTTTCCATCAAGACAACAATAGGGACTCTTTCAATTATAAGAATCCTCACAACTATTCACGTTTATTACAGATTAATGGGCCCCAACCACGTGTGCCGGTATAGGGTTGTACTGCATATATATTATGTTTTACCCATATTGCCTTTCATAGGCTCAGGGTTATGCCTCTCTTTAGACGATTACTGTGTCCGTCGTTTTGCATGCATGTGATATGATATACCCTTGGTATAATTTTTGGAAAATCCCCTTCATGGGGTGTAACCTATACGGTAATGATATATGCTTACATATTTAGCATGTGATATTGCATACCTATGGTATAATTTTTGAATATACCTTCTTTAGGAAGTGTTACCTATGTGCCAGTGCTGCAAGTGCTTTAGACTATTGTGGTCATAGCCTTTGTAGCACATATACCTAGACCGGTCTTGGTGTGATTTTAATGGTTTTAGGTCTGTGTGTATTGTCTCATACTGAGGTGATGGTAAACCAGGGTGATTGCCCATATGTCAATCATTAATGTGAAATAAAGCATAATTTTTTGGAAATTTTTCTGAGTATCGCATTCTGTTCATAATGTACCCGCTTTTTTGTGAATTTCTTTTCACAAACCCCCTTTTTGTCTGCATGTTTTTTGGCTACTGGATGGAAGCCATATATTGGGTGATACAGTAATTTATTTTTGAACCTCTAAAATCTACCTTCCCCTTCACTCTCACCTGACATGTAGGCCTCTTCACTAGAGTACCTTTCATTGGACATTTTGGCCACAAAATTTATAGGTACCTATGTGACTCATGGGAAAAGAGCAACTGGTTGGAGGTTTATTGTGTATGTGAGTGTGTTCCTGGCAATCAAGGGGTTAACTGATGACTGATGTTGTGACGGGCAATCTGATGTTATCTGGGAGGGACGCTAATGCTATCTGAAGTTGCCGGTGACACTAATACAGTGATCAGTAAAAAAATCTGTACACTGTACGAATGACACTGGTGACAAGGCAGTGAAGGGTTAACTGGGGGGGGGGGGTGATCAGGGGGTTAAATGTGTCCTAAAAAGTGTTCTGTGTGTGTGTGCTGATTTTACTCTTGTGGATCTGCTTTCTTCTCTCTCTGGGACAGAATGTGCCCACAAAGAGAACATTTCATCATTTCCTGTACCTGTGTAAATGTAAACACAGGTACAGGAATATCTCTGATAGGGCAGGGATCGATCATCAGATTCAGGGCCAACATCACTGGCCTAAATCTGATGATTGATCCCTTGGGCAATAAATCATGGCACCCGCGGGTCGGCATGTGCGTCCCCGGCCCAAGGTCACCGTGGGAGCCCAAATCATGTATATATATGATTTTTGTGCACCCGTGCCACCCTGTAGCAGTATTTCTGCTATAGGGTGGCGCGAAAGCGGTTAAATAGCCCTCTAATTATTTTTCAAAATTGTCTGCCTTTGACGACATGGAACCTTACGACCAAGTCTTTCTGAGTTCTTGCATTTTGTTTATATTTTTTTTTAGGTGTCACAAACATTTTACATCACTATCAATAAGGTGGATGACTCATTGCCTGTGGTCCAAAATTCAGGAATGAGGGTACAAGAAGGTGTTCGGAAGACTATCACAGAGTTTGAGTTGAAAGCTGTTGATGCTGATACTGAGGTATGAGAATGTTGACTGCTACAATTATAACCTGTGGCATGATAGCAGTAAGCGGCTTGAGACACTGTATCATTTTATATTATGTAAACCCTTATTACAGACTGACACAATAATTTTATGTTTTACAATGATTTGTAGCAATAATTTAGTTCTTCCTTATCTTTAATTTTCACACCAACTTTATAAATGACAGCCTGAATCTGAAAAATCATTATGGGCAAACTTTGCTCTTTAAACATACTGTATATAACAGTGGCAGTGACAGGCTGAACAAACAGAAGCCATATTGCAGTATTTGGTATTGCAAGATGGATGCGCCTATCTGAAAATAGGCTCATGGAAAAGGTCCATCCTCATAACTAGATACTGAGGTAGGAGCCAATGTATAGTATAAATTGTGGCATTAGGAGTTTAAAGTATATAAGAAAAATAAATGTCCCCAAGCTACATCTATAGGATCATTCTTTCACTTTTCTCAACCTGCTATATTACTGCAAAAAACTGTAGAAAAAAAAATCAGGATAATGATAATCTAATAAAACTAGCAAATACAGTTGCAAGAAAAAGTATGTGAACCCCTTGGGATTACGTGGAGTTTTGCATGAATTGGGCATAAAATGTGCTCTGAACGTTATCTAAGTCACAACAGTAGAAGAACACAGTCTGCTGAACAGAATACTACACAAACATTAGATGTTGCCATGGTTTAATTGCACATAACATGTAAACATTCACAGTGCAGGGAGGAAAAAGTATGTGAGGCCGTAGCTTAATGACTTCTCCCAGAGCTAATTGGAGCCAGGAGTGAGCCAACCTTGACTCCAATCAGTGTGATGATATTGGATGTGTTGCTAACAGCTGTCCTGCCCTTAAAAAACACACACCTGTTTTGGGTTTACTGGTTTCAAGAAGCACTGTCTGATATGAACCATGCCTCGCAGAAAAGAGCTCTCAGAAGACCTACGATGAAGAATTGTTGACTTGCATGAAGCTGGAAAGGGTTACAAAAGTATCTCCAAAAGCCTTGATGTTCATGTGTCCACGGTAAGACAGACTGTCTACAAATGGAGAAAGTTTAGCATTGTTGCTACTTTCCCTAGGTGTGGTCGTCCTGTAAAAATGACTGCAAGAGCACAGCGCAGAATGCTGCATGAGGTAAAGAGGAATCCCAGAGTGTCAGCTAAAGACCTACAGAAATCTCTGGCACATGCTAACATTTTTGTTGACACATCTACAATAAGGAAAACATTAAACAAGAATGGAGTACATGGGAGGACACCACGGAGGAAGCCATTGCTGTCCAAAAAGAATATTGCAACACGTTTGAAGTTTGCAAAAGAGCACCTGGATGTTCCACAGCACTACTGGCAAAATATACTGTGGACAGATGAAACCAAGATTGAGTTGTTTGGGAAGAACACACAACACTATGTGTGGAGAAAAAAAAAGGCACAGCACACCAACATCAAAACCTCATCCCCACTGTAAAACATGGCGGATGGAGCATCATGGTTTGGGGCTGCTTTGCTGCCTCAGGGCCTGGACGGATTATTGTCATTGATGGGAAAATGAATTCCAGAGTTTATCAAGACATTTTGCAGGAAAACGTACGACCATCTGTCCACCAACTGAAGCTCCGCAGAGGATGGGTGATGCAACAGGACAATGACCCAAAGCATACAAGTAATTCAACAAAACAATGGCTGCAACAGCACAGAATACGCCTTCTGGAGTAGCCCAGTCAGAGTCCTGACCTCAACCCTATTGAAATGCTGTGGCATGACCTTAAGAGAGCGATTCACACCAGACATCCCAAGAATATTGCTACACTGAAACAGTTTTGTGAAGAGGAGTGGTCCAAACTTACTCCAGATCGTTGTGCAGGTCTGATCTGCAACTACAGGAAACGTTTGGTTGAGGTTATTGCTGCCAAAGGAGGGTCAACCAGTTATTAAGTCCAAAGGTTCACATACTTTTTCCTCCCTGCACTGTGAATGTTTACATGTTATGTGCAATTAAACTATGGCAACATCTAATGTTTGTGTAGTATTATGTTCAGCAGACTGTGTTCTTCTATTGTTGTGACTTAGCTGACGTTCAGAGCACATTTTATGCCCAATTCATGCAAAACTCCACGTAATCCCAAGGGGTTCACATACTTTTTCTTGCAACTGTATGTGCCCATTCATGATAGGTCTTTGTTTAAGTGGTTGTGTTAATGAAAGGCTGCCCATAATCCAGCAGTTGCCCACTCATAAAACTGTGGAAAGGCAGCATTTGGAGAATAGTCTATTACTGTTCGGGAACTTCAGTACATTGGTGTCCTAATGCATGCTATTAAAATGCTCAGAGACATCATGTGACAGAGTAAATTATTTCAGGACACTGGTAAAGAGCAGTTCTTGAACAGTGATCCAATTTAAATGGATTGTGTTTTGTGAATGGGCATCCAATGTATTATGGATTGCACTTCTCCTTTGACTTACCATTGCACTAAATAAGAAATACTTTGACGTCACTATTTACTATTAGTTACTATTCGTTATCAACTTTAATGCTGAATGACTGGGAATTTGAAGTGTAAATCATTATATATATATTCAGTAAAAGTGCAGATGTAGTTTGATCAAGAGAAATGTGGCAGGTGTGTATTCATTTTGAACTGGGAGACTATGTAAGCTGCATAGGGAAGGGGCACTGAGGACAGTAAAAAGTAGCAGTTTATTCCTGGACAATATAGGTGAGATCACTATTGACATGAAGTGAATACAAGACTGATGTTTGGAAAGTTGCATTACATAGGAGTGTAGGTGGTGGTGGTGGGGGGGCACAGTAGGTGATGCTGTGTTTCATGGTAGAGATTGTGTGAGTAGGACTGGGGTTGCATAATTGTAGACACAGGAGGAGTTGTGGAGGCAGGAGGTAAAAACATGTATTCATTATGTGGATAGTAAAGTTTTGAGCAGAAAATGTGAGTAACAGCTGCATCTGATAGCATCTGCCCAGTTAGCATAGGGGTGCTGGTACATAGGAAGGAGTGATATTAATATTAGAACATGCATAACAGAGAAAATATCTGGACTGGAGGCACAATCCCCCCAAAAAATCCAAATGTGACAATCTGACTTTAATATATAGGATATATCTGTATACAAGATACAGATGTATGATTTGATAAAACATATAACATAAAGGAAATGTTCAGTAGTTCATAGTGATCTATCAAGGCTTTACAACATGACTAAACATTTCTAAAAATGTAACTTCTGGAATCTGATTATTTTCTACCTAAGGTCCCTTCACTTTTCCTTTCCTACAGTTTCTGTGCATTATCTCATAATTCTCTTTTACATTTACAGTATTCTCTTTTCTCAGATCCAACACAGTCAGTATGATATATTTTTCATTTCAGACTTTGTTGGGTGCCATGGCTAGTAATGTTGCAGAGGTTGGTGTTATATCATAACTGTGGTATCTACTTCAGTTTCCTGACAGTGCTCCTGTTTTTCGCTAACAGGCAGAATCAGTCACATTCACCATTGTCCAGTCACCTCGTTATGGATTGATTGAACGTAGCAGCAATGGGCAGAGCTACCGTCAGACCTCTACTTTCACAATGGATGATATCTATCAGAATCGTATCAGTTACAATCATGATGGAAGTAATACTCTCAAGGATAGATTCTCCTTTACTGTGTCGGATGGAACCAACCCATTCTTCATTGTAGAAGAAGGAGAAAAGGAAGTAAGAACTGTAATTAACTATTAATATTTGGGGAAAATGCCTGTGCTTTCATTAGTATTTTTACCAATATTCTTTTAGATCATACACCACACAAGTGACAGCTTTCATTGGCTATTATTTTCTGTGAGAATGAAATTAAAATAATACAGTATCTAAAAAATTAATTTTATGAAGTAATTTTGCATAGCAGTAAAAACCTTCTATTTTGCTTTTTTGACCTTTTGGGAATCAGTGTACTTTATAGCTACTTTGTCACTCTAGATTGCTTCTACAGTTTGTTTTTCAATTGAGTTGTTTACATTTCTGTATGCTTTTCATGCTGTCTATTCTTCATGGCAGCAATCAGTTTCCATTCAAATAAATAAATAGTATTAATTTTTGGTTTCAGATAGTAACAGCAGCTCCTCAAAGATTTAAAGTCGATATCCTCCCAGTGGATGATGGTACACCTAGAATTGTCACCAATTTGGGTCTCCAGTGGCTGGAGTACATGGATGGCAAGGTAATATTTAAAGATTTATTTTATGGAATTGGTGGCTCATGAGAGATTAGGTGTTATTCTGGGGTAATGGGTTCATGTTCCCAATGGACCTGTTTGTCTGTCACCTTATGTTGGTGTGGATTTCTTCTAGGTGTTCTTTTACGGTCTTAGAAGTATTAGATTTTAAGTTCATTGGAAGAAGAGACTGCTGAACGCAATTTTGTATATTCAGTAAATGTAACTATAGAAAATAGAAAAATAATAGATGAGCAGCATATGTCTTTTATACTTTTGAGTAAAAAACTGTTTGTATGTGTATAGACGAGTGAAACTTTATATGACTAAAATGTAATTTTCTGACAAAGCGGCAGATGCCACTATACACATGGAGTCTTTGTCTACTGGCCCAGCTCTACACATTTGGCTTATTTGCAGACCTAGGAGTAGCACCACCTTTAATAGCATGCATATAGTTGTAATACACAGGTTGTACTTCATGCTCACTTAGAGGAATATAGCTCACAGCACACATTTTATTTTATATTCATACATTTTACATTTCACTGATCTTTCTAGTATTTGTTGAACCATTTATGTATTTAGTGTTGTGGGTTTCTTTAACTGTAGATTATTTTCAAAGAAGGATTTATTTTTTGTTTTCATTTACCATATATTGTTTGTTTACTACACACCTTCTTTTACTACACACCCACTGGTGCTGGTCTTTTTTGTCTTTAGTTAAAACTTCACATTGCTGTTCAGAGATACAATCATACCTTAGTATGCAGCTACATACTGCTCAGGTTGTTGGAGTTACTGTATATTCTTGTTGTTCCTGTGCAGCAACTTGCACATAAACTAAACCTGATAGGCTTAGGGTGTGCAGCTGTGATGATGTTCTTGTGGTCAACATGAGGAGCAGCATATGATAGTGGTCATTGCAATGTTATTGTGGTATTTGGGCACAGAGGATGACAGTCTTCCCAGGATAGGTCTGTGAATGTACCTTTAGTCATGAGATAACTGTTGTGCACAAGGTATGATCTCACACTGAAGAAGATCCATTGCTAAGCATCAACTTTTCCTGGTCCATTGAGCATGGGTTTAGGTGTTTGTTTTTTCCACAGGCCTCTAATTATATTACAAAGAAGGAACTGATGACGATAGACCCAGACACAGATGACAAACAAATTATTTATGAAATTTTAAGTGGACCTAGCCATGGTTATCTGGAAAACAAGCTAAAGCCTGCTGTTATCCTTTCATCCTTTACACAAGGTATTAGGTGTGAAAGAGACAATACAGTGTACTTTGAATGACAGCACATTTTGTAGCAATATTACAAAATGTACCTAAAAGTAATCACTATCATATGCATTTCACATTTTTACATCCCCACCATGCTTTACGTTTATTATTGTATTTCATATCTGTATAACTTGTGTAATTTAGGTTTTTGTTCTAGTTCCTGACTGTTTGCTGTCAGACGAGACAAATAGATTAAAAAAGAAATAACAGTAGAGCAGCAAATGCTGTGTTGCACTGCTAAGAATGCACAACCTGAATATGTAATGAGCAAATATGGTTGCTCACATGGTCAGATTATTTATATATTTATACGCTTTATACATTTACTTCCAGTATTAGGATTGTGAACAAAGGGGTATTATACTCATCTGAGGATTTAGTTGTATTCATATCATATGAAAAGGATCTGCACGTGTGTTTTCTTGTTTTTTTTTACATATTCTACTGTTTTTTAAATTCCTAAAATTAATGATTATGGATATTTCCTGCCAGAGGAAATAAACCTTGGCCTGATCCGGTATATTCTGCATGAAGAGAAGTACAAAGAAACAATGGATAATTTCAAGTTTCTTGTGAAAGACAGTAAACCAAATGTGGTCAGTGACAACATGTTCCACATCCAGTGGTCTCTGATGAGCTTCAGTCATGTTAGGTAAGTCTGTTCCTGTACCTTCTTCTCACCACTACACATTTGCTACATTACAGTTTTGCTTGATAATTTTCCACACTTTAATAAGAAATGAGATGGGAAAATCTGCTTGTGCTTTGCATTGTTAATTTAGGGTTTTGTGTATTAAATGATTGGTACTATTGGAAGGATAACTTCTCCACGTACTTGTAGGCACTGCTTATCACAAGCTGAAATATTTCAGTAGCTAAAAGATCCCCTATTACTTATAACTTCGGACCATATATACTGTATATGCAGTGATTCTTCAAAATACTAAATATTTTAATGGAATCCTGGGAAAATCCTAGTAAAAAGGACCTTTTATTAACATATACAGTTGTGTTCAAAATAATAGCAGTCAGACATCACTAACCTGATCAATCACTGTTTTTGGTAGAAATTATATTTCTACATGGCAAATAATTTACTAGCAGGTGTAGTAGAGTAATAGAAATCCAACAGGCCCAACAGTCATGACATGCATGCTGCTGATTCTGTGTAATTGAATCACTAATTGAAAGGGGCATGTTCAAAATAATAGCAGTGTGGAGTTCTATTAGTGAGGTCATTCATTCTTTAAAAAACAGGTGGCAATTATTGCCCTTATTTAAGGAAGGAAGGCAGCAAATGGTGTACATGCTGGTTACAGTGCATTTCTCTCTGAAATTCTGAGGAAAATGGGTCGTTCCAGACATTGTTCAGAAGAACAGCATACCTTGATTAAAAAGTTGATTGGAGAGGAGAAAACCTATAAAGAGGTGCAGAAAATGATAGGCTGCTCAGCTAAAATGATCGCAAATGCTTTAGAAAAAGGCAACCAAAATCTGAAAGACATGGAAGAAAGCGAAAAACTACCATTCGAATGGATATAAGAATAGCCAAAATGGCAAGGACTCAGCCAACAATCAGCTCCAGGAAGATCAAAAAAGGTCTAAAGTTACCTGTGAGTACTGTTCCAATTAGAAGACACCTATGTGAAGCCAAGCTATCTGCAAGAAGCCCCGCAAAGTCCGACTGTTGAAAAAAAGACGTGCTGAAGAGGTTACAATTTGCCAAAGAGCGCATTGACTGGCCTAAAGAGAAATGGTGCAACATTTTGTGGACTGATGAAAGTAAGATTGTTCTTTTTGGGTCTAGTGGCCGGAAACAGTTTGTCAGACGACCCCCAAACACTGAATTCAAGCCACAGTACACTGTGAAGGCAGTGAAGCATGGTTGCGCAAGCATCATGATATGGGGATGTTTCTCATACTACGGTGTTGGGCCTATTTATCACATACCAGGGATCATTAATCAGTTTGAATACATCAGGATACTTGAAGAGGTCATACTGCCTTATGCTGAAGAGGAAATGCCCTTGAAATGGGTGTTCCAACAAGACAACAACCCCAAACACACCAGTAAACGTGCAACATCTTGGTTCCAGACCAACAAGATTGACGTTATGGAGTGGCCAGCCCAATCAGCAGATCTTAATCCAATAGAAAACTTGTGGGGTGACATCAAAAATGCAGTTTCTGAGGCAAAACCAAGAAATAGAGAAGAACTGTGGAATGTAGTCCAATCATCCTGGGCTGGAATACCTGTTCACAGGTGGCAGAAATTGGTTGACTCCATGCAACACAGATGTACAGCAGTTCTCAGAAACAGTGGTTATACAACTAAATATTCATTAAGTGATTCAAAGGAAAGCAAAATCTTCAAACATTTTTCAGTTTATATAGTGAATGTTTGAGTTTGTAAAGAAGAATACAAACACTGCTATTTTTTTGAACAGTCTAATATTCACTTTTCTTTACTTTTTTTAGAGGAACAACACAAATTTGATATATTTTTCTTCATGTTTTGATTTGGAACAGAATGTGTAGTGTTCCCAATGCATTTGCGTGTATGGAAATAAAAGCTATTAGAATGATTTTGAGCTTTATTCACTTTTTTCAACACACTGCTATTATTTTGAACACAACTGTATATTTTTAGAATAAGTAAATAAGTGAATTACTGTGTAAGTGAAACACTTACAGGTAATTGTGAATACAGCCAAGAACTATGCAGGCACCAGGATTTAAATAAGTATGTCATCTTTGAGCCAGCACCTTCACCAGGAGGTAGTTGCTGTCTCTGAGTGATGCTTGAACAACTATGGTTCTGTCTTTCAGGAGAAGGCATTGTTAAGGGTAGAAAAAATAAAAATATCCAGTGCAAAGACTTGTAGTGTAGAAATGTAACACAAAGAAATGTATTAAATCAAATAATAAAATGCCCTCACAAACTCTGTGTAATACAAAGGTATTTAATCTACAAATGGGGTGGCACTTGGATTACTCAATCCACATGAGCACAGGGATACTTGAAGAGAGACTGGCCAGGCTGTGGTTGGATTGCGTTGTAGTGCACTGTGGAGATGCTGGTTGTTGCAGAGGGGGAATGAGGGAGACAGCAGCCTCTGTCATTTGTGGACTTACCCACCTGGGTGATGTCATTGAATGGATATGCCAATCCCCTTTCATCAGGTTTTTTATTGCTATCAGGGGCTACATTAGAGAGACTTCCCCTCATTTTCTGTCCTGCTGACAATGGTGTCACCAGACAGAGTGAGGGATAATCTGAGACAGGGACACAGACAAAATTAAGTTAAAAATCTGACAAGGTTTCATGCCTTCCCTTAAGCCGGCCATAGACGGTTCCAATCTCGGCAGGTTCAGCAGGGACCGGTTGAGATTCAAACCATGTATGGGCAAGCTGAATATACCCAAGTTTGATCGATCGACCAGCTTGGGTACAACCAGCCTGCCGGATTTTACATGCTATTATAGCCGCCTGCAGTAATCACTGTGTTTTCCCAGCAGGGACGGCTCCGCTCCACGCCGGGAGAACACAATGGCTCTACGGGAGGGATGCAAGAAATAAAATTGCTCCTTTTATGGCTGGCTTTACTCTACTAAAGAAAATCATTTTTATATCTTTATGTGCTGCTGTTGCAGAGTTATTCTCACTTCCTGTCAGAACAGAAATTGAGAATAAATCTGTCTAACTGAGCCTTGTCAATTTTTACCCTTCTCCAATGTATTACAAAAAGTTTTGGCTGAACATACACTTCAACAAGTTAAAATATACCTGATTTTTGTATGACTTATTCTTGAGAACTGTGGGATGCCCATTCATCATAAGCTAGTGCCGTGTAGCATATTACTCCAAAGACCATAATAAGCTTATCTAACAAATAGTAAATAATACTGGGTGAAGAACAGACATCACATGGTTTCAAGCTTTCCCATTTCTCTGTGAATGGTTAGTATTAGAAGTACACTACAGGTACCCAATGAGGAGTTGGGAAAAAAAAAAAAAAAGAGTAATCATCATAGATCATCATAGATAGAAAATTTTGTAAGCTGTGCACTGCTTTTGTAAGAAATATTTACATACTTATTAGTCCATGGGAGATACATAATGCAATAATACCCGCTGTTGTTATTCTGCATCGTCCTTCGCCTCACCTTCTTGCATTTTCCTCTTCTGATAAATCCAGCAACTTGTTAGGAATCACAATATGTGCTTCTGATGCTTGAATCAGTCATTTGTCAGGGAGATAAGACAGAATGCAGAAAACAAAGTAGCAGTTTAATAGAGATGTCTGCGTTACTCTTTAGTAGAGTCGTGCACACACGTCTAACTATTTACATTAGTTGCAGCAGAGGCCATGTAGATATTGATAAATAGCTATATATGCACTACCAAACAACAGAACACAGATGAAGTTTTATACTGTATATTTAAAAGATAGAATATTGAGTTGTTTTACATCATTGATTTACTACAAGGGGAATTTCATGCAGATCTCAGGCTGAAGTCACTCATATCTGCTGTCACTTAGTTCAGTAGTTCATTGAAAGCTTCCACCCTACTTACTTATAACTCACTGTCTATAACATGAAATACTTCAGTATAGTGGTATAAGTCTTAGCACATACTATAGCTGTGTGGAACTAGATGACAAGATTGTGCAATGTGCTCATGCTGCCAGCTCCTGTATTAGGGGCTGAGAATCTGATGTTATACATTTGCCTATTTATTTAGTTTTTTTGATATACACAGTAAATCAAGCAAATATGGCTCTGGCCACCAGGACCACATGTCTGATATATATTCTAAGCTCATTTACACACATGCATTTGTGATTACCTAGTGTTCATAGGATTTTACCATGAGCACATCTTAAGGTTTTCTAAAATATGCAGCATATTTGTCAAAAAAGTTCTGACACTATAGATACATATATTATTTTATCTGAATATGAATGATGTTGTATATCTCACTTTTAATAGTATAAAATAACTCATAATTAGATGTTTTTGTGTGAACACAGAGGTTTCTTTCTATTAACAGCTACAATGTGAGTGAAAAGGCAGGGTCAATCAGTGTGACTGTGAAAAGGACTGGGAACCTCAACCAGTATGCCATAGTATTGTGCCGAACAGAACAGGGCACTGCCACATCCAGCTCAGGTGTGGGCTTCCAACCAGGACAGCAGGATTATGTGGAATATGCAGGCCAGGTAAATATTTGCAAAATCTTGTTCATGTTTTCTACCTTCATAATTGTCACCACTGTGGCAAGCTAAGTTGTTTAGCCTTAACAGGGAAACATACTGATTGCATATAGATAGTAAAAACAGCATAAAACAACAGGTAAAATGTATAAACATAAAAAATAAAATAAATTTGATCCAAATGTATTATGTTCCCCTTTCATTATTTTAAGGATTTCAGAGAACTATAGGTTATCTAGAGAGACCGCACAAAAAAAAGCAGAGAAGCTTCCTTTGCAGCTTCCATTATCGGAAACCTCAGACTTAGCTATGTGAAATGAAAAGAAGTCACTGCTCTGATGTTTCATTGGTTTACTGTAAGCAATAGGCTACAATCAGCACAGCTGAAAAGTAATCTTCCTATGATCTGAAAAGTAGCATAGAGCACCACCTGCTTGCTGAGTAGAAAACTGCATAATATAGTGATGTGGTTTTTTTGTTTAAATTATTCTTGATAAAGAGATTTATTTGCTGCAAATTTACCATTTTTGCCCTTGCTGAAATTGCCATAATATTAGCCTCTTACTTGACCACCTGGCTTTCTTAGCGAATTTTGCTTTAAAAAATGATCTAACATTAAGAAAGTCTTCTCATATTGCTTTGGAAACCCTGTGATGCCCCTAAGTCACTACCTAAAACAGTGGCTTAGGGGCAATTGTGACAATATGTAAGCAGTTGGTGCAATACATGGGCAAGAAACAAGCAAATGGGTCAATAGGCAGGCATCTAAATGGTCAATCCTTTCATAATGTAGGCAACAAACTGGCAATCATTATAATATGTAATAAGCAAATTGTCCATAGCTACAAAATTCCAAGTTCATTACAGTATCTGAAGTCATTTTCCCAGCAAACGAGGGGCATTTTTTGCACAAGAACAGGTCAAGGTTAGCAAACCTCAATTGCGCCCTTCAAAACCAGTAAAAAACAGATTTTTGCCTTCCCCATCAACATCAATGCTATTCATTATATGGTTAAATTTGAGTGGCCTGAATCAGTGGCCTGATTTTCTGGTGAATCTTTGTGTTTCACATCCCTAAAAACAATGATAAACAAAGTAGGAAAAAAAGAAAATATGCGGCAACAAGTTGTTATCTCCTTTAAAGGATGTTTACCAAACTTATGTTATAGATAAGGTAATGCATAAAAATTAATAAAAGAAAGGGTTTAAAGACAACTTCACCTTTAACAAAAACCCTGAAGTGCAGCTCACCCATCAAAAATCAACCCCTACAGCAATCTTTGCTCCGAGTTATACAGCCTTTGCTGCATCCTCATCACACTGTGCACCCATGCCATGGCCCCATTTATCCTTATGAATGAGCTGTACTCTGCTGGATAGTTGAATGCCACCATAAGTACTTCTCATCCAAAGGCTGGCCATACATTACACAATTTTCTTGAGAATTTTGCTTTAGCTTTACCAAAAACCATATAATATGAGGTCAAACCTAAACAACACTTTCAATTGTATCCAATTAGACAGGCCCTTGCACTACATAGCTGAAGGTAACCCTAAAGGAAATTGGGCAGAAATTGGACAGAAAAATGTAAGAAAATTGTATAGCGTATGGCCAGCCTTAGGAATAATTATAGCTTTATAGGGAGAACAGGAGGTAACACAGGTATGGTACCCGATTAAAGGCTGAGGTAGCTGACTGTAAAAGAGTTGGCATTATAAAGCCTTCCGGCCATCATATGCAAGTGTGGGTAAATACCAGAGGCATAAAGGTGGTGGCTATTGAAACACAAGCTGCTGGCTGTTGAAGCATAGTGTCACCAGGTGATAAAAATGGAACAGTAGGTTTGTGTAATGGTAATAACAAGTTTCCACTATACAATGGTGAAAAATGTCCCTCCAGCAGCAAGGATCCTACCTTGGCTAGGGCAGGATCTTGCTGCTAGAGGACCTCCTTTCATACGGTACAGTTCACTATCCATTACCCTGCTTTAGCATTACTTTACATGAGTGCAATCTATGATGATTTTAGTTAATAGCTGTTTCTAAATATACTACACTATAGATGGTTTCTGTACTACTCTTTTTAGGGAAAGCTCTGTTCACTTTCAATGTCTGATTTAAAAAAGGAAAATTGAAAAGAGGATTTTTTTCCTACACTTGACTGGATAATTGTGAAGTAAACACAGCTTCACCCTATTCATTTTGCTAAGTGAACAGTCTTTCCTCCTTTACCACATTAACCCCAGTATGTGAGGGTTTTTACTCATTTCATTTGGGGTTCTAGAATAATAGGACACTCACTGTCAACTGCTATCGCAAATGAAAATGAAAATAAAAATAAAAAGGACAGTTGTGCTCTTTACTAACATTGACCTTCGATTTGTGCAGCAGTACAGCAGTTTCTATTTTCCATCTCGTGTCTAAAGTGTTTGTACTTGCTGCAATGTAATTTTCTCTTTTTTTGCCATATCAATGGAAGAAAACTATGAAGTAGATTGCTAAGGAAAAATAATATAGATTTTTGTGTGGGTGTAATTAGAAGAGTTAACAATAGTAGTGAAATTGCAATGACAAGTAAGCACAGAATGAGATAATTGAAGTAGCCCTGCTGTCTCTCTTAGTGGTGAATATTTTAAATACGATAAAAGAAATCTATGTTAATGCAGAGTGATGTATCTAATATGTTTAATCCCATCAGGTGCAATTTGATGAGCGAGAGGACAGCAAGGCCTGTACCATTATCATCAGTGATGACCAGGTGTACGAGGGCATTGAACACTTCACAGTGGAACTGAGTATGCCAGCCTATGCACTTCTGGGACAGATCACTAAAGCCACTGTTAATATTAATGACACAGAGGACGAGCCCACTCTACAGTTCGATAAGAAGATATATCGGGCCAGTGAGAGTGCAGATGTTCTGTCTATTCCTGTTGAGAGAAAGGGTTAGTCAACTTTTCTGCTAATAACTGTGTTTATGCTTCATAGTTTGTACGTGTAAGAAATATATTTCTGTAAACCCACATATTGTTAGACATGTCCTTGCATATGAATAGCAGACACTTTATTTTGTACCTTGTTGGAACTATCACATTGTGGCAACAGATTTGAATTCAAATGGTAGCAATATCGTTTTAACAAACAGCAGTAGCAATTTTACCAGTTTTTGAAACAAGATGTAAATTGATCATATCAAAAGTGTACATCAGACTAAAAGCCAGGCAGTTGTCCCACAGAGGTATTCAATACCGATTTGCAAAGCATGGAACCTGCCTGTTTAGAAGTATGACTTTGTTATTGGTACAAAATCTGGAGCAATGTTCCTCATGCTTGCTTTACTACTGAGTCACTGACCCATTACAAGTTGAAGAGTAAGGAAGGCCATAGACTATGCAATTTTGTTTCCTTCCACCACACAGCATTATGTTCTGCTGGTGGGGAGTTTTCCCTGCTGGAAAACACGACTAGTTTCACCGGCAATAGCCGACAGCACTAATCATTCAAGAAAGACCCGAAAGTCTGGTTGTACACAAGTCGATCAGTAGAGATGCCCATGCATGGATCAAAATTAAGCTGAACCGACCAAATTTCGATCCATGTATAGCCAGCTTAACTTTCAATTCTTTAGCATTGATTCCCATACTTGATAACAGTCGCTGCTTTCTAATTTTTCTGACAGGTTCCCTTTAATTCAGTACTGGAGGGATATTATAGTGCATATTTTGATTTCATTTTGTGGTGTTTTCTTTTAAAACAGTTTTTGACATGCATCTTAAAAGCTTGTGGTTCCATATTTTTGTTATTAAAGAATAATTTGTTATTGAAGGATAACAGTACATTTAGGCCGGCCATACATGGGTCGAAATTTGACCGATTTGTCATACGAACATCAGACCTAAGAATAATCGGCTGATTTTTGCTCTGTTAGTGGGTCAATGGCACCGTCCAATTTTCGTGGTTCCTCCCCTTTTTGGTGTTTGGGCATGTTGGAAAATTCGTGAAAAAAGACCGATTTTAGACTCAATGATGGTCAAATTGTACAATCATTTTTCTGAAAAGAATATGCGCATGAGCCGTGACCTAGAAGGAACAGAAGTTTCACCTGTTATATGGGATGAACTTTATCACTTGGTCAGCCGATTTTCAAAATCATTGATAGCACCATCGGATCACCGAGTGAACGTTTTCGGACGAAAAATCGTTCGTAATTCAAACCATGTATGGCCTGCATTAGTATAGTTATCTTTTATATGGCTGTCTCCACCAACACAGAGTATTTGTGAAAACTCTTTTTAGTGGCTAATCTTCAAATCACTAATTGTACTTTGAGTACAGTCAGTCTTTATAAGCCCCCATAATCGACACCAAATCTTACACTTACCTTTCCCCGCTTCCACAAAACTTTCTGTGTGTGGCCCCCTGGATGCTGCACACAGCATTTTAAAAAAAAAACTTCCTCGCTGGTCCCTGCTTCTTCTGCGCATGCTTGGTACAATCTGAAATAGATTTTTTCCTAATTTGTAACTGAACGTCAGATAGCCTGTCCAAAGAAATTTATGAAGCTTGCAGTGCACATTCAAAAACGCACAGCCTGTGGTTTTTTCCAAAACACAGCAAGTTCTGCTTAATTTTCCCTTCATACAATCAGAAAATGTTTGCCAGCTGCCCTCTAGTGGATGGTTGGAAGAATGACATTGCAATCTTCACAGACTAGACATGCTAGCCAGCAATGAAATGCGTATGATAAAAAAAACTAATTACTGTTCATATAAGACTTTAATTGAAATATGTTTGTAGGCATGACAGCAAGTAATTGGGCAATTTATACATAACATATTCAATATGAATGCAGATTTGCAGGAAAATCTGATGACACAGCACAACCACAGTGCACATTAGTCTATAAAAACATGGTTTAGCTTTGGATTGCATTTCCAAACAGCTTGATTTGTATATTTTTGTAATAGAGAAATGATTTATTCATCTTTCCCAGCCAGAAAATTCATAAGTGATTGGGGCTTGTGCCAGTCAAGGAAACCAGTGATGTACAATATCTTCAGTAATAGCCACTTAACCGCCATTATTGTGTACTTAAGTGGCTACATTTCTGAATGGAAGTCCAAAAGATTCACAATTCAGTTACTGCTTTTCATCATTGCCTAAAATGTCAGCATTGCAGGTGTGCAAAAATGCAATTCCCTTCAAAAGCAGCAGTTTGTATGGTGTAGGTGTATACATTTTAGAGATTCAATTTTAGCATATATTGGGAAGTAACATACAACAAGAGCAGCAATCAGTCAGAGTTTGACTTTCAGCAGTTGGTTGTTTTTGATTACTGCACACATTTTGAACTATGCTACTGTTTGGATTTACAAAGTTGGGCTTTTGACATGAAGGCACTATATAAAGTGTTACTAAACCCAGGACCCTGCATTCACTATATCTGGTCTCCCACAGTACACACACCATGGAAATTGAATTATTTTAGTAAATATAAACTGCTAAATACCTTTTCTCATCAGCAGTTAGAGCAGTCTTGTGACTTCAGCAGAGCACTCTTTAAAGCTTGTAGGAGGAGTTTTCTTTCTGCTCTAGGAGGATGTGAAACCCTTGTGTCTGGACAGTGCTGATTGGCCCTTTGCTGATCACATGCGCTCTCCCAATAAAATAAAAAAAAAAAACCTCTCTAGCAATAAACACTGAACTGAGCATGTGCATGTGACTATTCCAGGTACTTTTTTTTCCAGGTACTTTTATAGCACCATCAATTTACGCAGTGCTTTACATATATATTGTACATTCACATCAGTCCCTAACCCTCAAGGGGCGTACAATCTAAGGTCCCTAACTCACATTCATACATACACATACTAGGGCCAATTTTGACAGGAGCCAATTAACCTATCAGCATGTCTTTGGAGTGTGGGAGGAAACCGGAGTACCTGGAGGAAACCCACGCAGGCACAGGGAGAACATGCAAACTCCAGGCAGATGGTGCCGTGGCTGGGATTCAAACCAACGATCCTAGTACTTCCAGGTGGAAGTGCTATCCATTTAGCCACTGTGCTGCCCTATGGATTCAGTCTGTATCAGGTGGTCATTTCAACAAGAGGAGTGGCAGAGAAGAAAGGATCAAACATCCTTTTCACACAATGCATGCTTACTGCATATACAGACTGATTTTACTGTTGTGGGCTTAGTAACACTTTAAGCACTTTTAGATTTAGATTATACCATATATGCAAAACCCACAGACATGTGATGGGTAGAGAATGTTCCTGATGTCTGTGAATAGTGGTAGATATTCTTGGCTAACATTTCATGTGGGAATAAGTGATCGGTTAGGTTGGGTATTAGGGTCAATATCTGTTTCCCCAACAATATCTCTCTATTAAACTATTGTGCCCCTTCCAGTGATAGAATTGTGTAGGTTACAGTGATGATTGTATTTATGTGTGTATATATATATCTATCCATTCAGTTGTATCTGACCCTTGGCGATTGCATGGACTGTCACTCGTAAGTGACTTTTTCCATGAATTCTGTCAGCAATTATTTTTATAGGGTAGGTTGCCAGGTCTTTCCCCAACCCCTACCATGCAGGAGATCCCACATGGCCAGGGATGAAACTAGGACAATTTAGAGAGAAGCCATTTAACCTACAAGCATGTGTTTGGAGTGTGGGAGGAAACCGGAGTACCTGGAGGAAACCCACGCGAACACAGAGAGAACATGCAAACTCCATGCAGGAGGTGCCATGGTTGGGAATTGAACCCATGACCCAATTACTGCAAGGCAGAAGTGCTAACCACTAAGCCACTGTGCCTTATCAGACAAGTTATACCTCGCCAATACTGGGTTTGAACCCCTTTTGCCTTCAGAACTGCCTTGATTCTTCGTGGCATAGATTCAACAATGTGTCAGAAACATTCCTTAGAGAATTTGGTCCATATTGACATGATAGCATCACGGAGTTGCTGCAGATTTGTTGGCTGCATATCCATGAACCATTGATACAAGGCAGGATGGATCGATGTTTTCATGTTGTTTACGCCAAATTTTGACCATCTGAATGTCGCAGCTGAAATCAAGACTCTTCAGACCAGAACGTTTTTCTAATCTTCTGTCGTCCAAGGTTGGTGAGCCTGTGTAAATTGTAGCCTCTGTTTCCCATTCTTAGCTGACAGGAGTGGCACCCGGTGTGGTTTTCTGCTGCTGTAGCCTATCTCCTTCAAGATTCAACATGTTGTGTATTCATAGATGGTATTCTGCATACCTTTGTTGTAACAAATGGTTATTTGAGTCACTGTTTCCTTTCTATCATCACAAAACCAGTCTGCCCATCTTTCTCTGACCTCTGACATCAATATTGTGTTGCTCTCATGTGATTGGCTGATCAGCAATCTGTATTACCAAGAAATTAAACAAGTGTACCTAATAAAGTGGCCGGTGAGTGTGTGTGTGTGTATATATATATATATATATATATATATATATATACACACACTGACCGGCGTGTGTGTGTGTTGATTTACTGAAGGTAAATAGACTGTTCACTTTGCAAGTGCAGTTGTGCTCTGCAGGGGGATTTGCTCCAGAACTTAGTAAATGAGGTGTATCTTCTCTGTGCAAAGAATACTTAATCACATGCCATAAAATTTAAAAAATGCATTTTTGCTTCCAAATGATTGGATGATTGAAGTCAGCAGAGCTTCCCCTCATTTACTAACCTCTGGAGCAAATTCCCCTGTAGAGTGCAACTGCAGTTGCAAAGTGCACAGTCTATTTGCCTTTAGTAAATCAAACTCATAATGTTATTGCAAACACTCCAAGGAGAATCTAGTTAATCTAAAGCTGGATACCATACTGTGTATGTATTTTTTTTTACATCCGTCCATAGCTGTTAATTCTTATCCATTTGACCCATACCTATATATACTGTACA